ACTTGCTTGTTTATTTTCGGATATTCAAGTAAAACTATACAAGAGCTATTTTATTTAGCCGTCCTTAACTTTGAACTGATAGCCTAGATGGAATGTAGCTAGTCAAGTTAATAGCACCCACTATCAACCCTTTGGCTAATGTAATAAAACAATGGAATTTGACGCATCCACCAGCACAAAGTGCAGAACACGATTTTATGGGAATTTACATGCTTACTTAGCAACACTGCAAGTAATATGAACTTTTAGTTTTTGCTAAGCCTTTTCTCACTTTACTAGCTTTAATGTTTTCTTTATATTTGATCTAAAAATATAATAAATAGTTAGTAAGTGAAATTTTTGCGATCTTTTTACATCACAATTTCCTCTCCTATTTTCTCATGTTACAAAATTAGCACACTGTGAAAAGTTGTGACTTTTTTTTTATGGTCACTTCATCTTTGCGTACAACAAGTAAAGCCTTCTTCCCCTAGTTCTGACTCTATATTTTTTTTTATCTAATTTATATAATAAAGAAGGTTGTAAAACGTCATTATCTTTCTTAGTATATTGCAACATGAAATATTCCCCTTCTCTACTATCACCTGGGGAACCATTGAGATGTATTCTTAAAATTATAGCTTATAGTTTACCCTTTATTAGAATAATTACATCGTAAAAGAAGATATTCCATATTTTTTTCTGACAACTTGATGGATATTTTCTCATTATTTTGCAAGATAACCTCTAATTGTAACAACTCGAGTTTTAGAAAATTAATCTCAGATCAATAAGATACGTAAAGTTATCTCATTAAAAATTAACTGTTACGTGCATGAAAAGCTAGAAGTTAATACTGTACTTATAATGTAATATATTTAAAAACTTCTGTATTTTTAAAGCCAACATATCATCAAACGACGTGATAAAGTGTTTGTAGGCTGTTTCTAAAAGATGTAACATCTGTAATTCGTTGAATTTGTAAAAGACGTAACATATACAATTACTTTCAACATGACAACATGACTAAAGTTAAGTAACATCCGTATTCAGATGGCTTTCTGAAAAATAAAATAACTAATTTCAACAAGCCATGAGTAGCATTTGTAATCATTTGACATCCTGAAAGACTTAAGCAACATCTGCAGTCAGTTGAATTTGCATCATCTGTTCTAAGTATTCAAACAACATTGAAATACTTAAAGTACTTTGGTATTTTCTTATGATATTAAGACTGTCATATCAAAATTATATGTTGTAAATTATGATTACTAATATCCGTGCACGTCTATTGTTCTTGTAGTATTGTTTACTAGAAGTAAAAAAAAAGAATTAAAAACGTTTTCCGTTGCACTTAAAGCGTTTACTGTGAGTTTTATCCATGTAACTAAAAAAAAAAAAAAGGGGCAGTCAGTCCATGCGTGTATGCATGCCAGCTTACATATAAACCCAATATTCCTCTTATATAATTGTACAGAGATACTTTTACGTTTATACGAGTGTAAAGTGAGCGATGTTAAACGTGCATTGCTCTATACGAGTGCAAAACTACAACTTTTGTAACATTAACTTTACAGATAATTAATCCAGTAACATAAAGAAGCACGCAAGGAAATATATTAAATTAACTTTTTACCTTTCCATGGCTTATAAATATTACAATGCCATTACATGTAAATTGTTTTCGTTATTGGTGGTACTTGACCTGTTTAAGGGAGAGTAAAAAAGAGGAAGGAAAAAAAAACGTGAAATATAAAGAAACAAAGGCAGTCGATTTTTACACTTCTTGATACCATACTTTTTAAAATTCACTATTTTATAACTCTTATATCTTTTCAGTTATCTCTATACAAGTGCCTAAAAATCTACAATTAGGCTATTAGGCTTAAAGTTATTGGTAATAACGGACTCGATGCTTTACTAATAATTTAGGAAAGAGTTTGTTTGTTTGTTTGTAATTAAGCACAAAGTTACACAACGGTCTACCTGTACTCTGCCCACCACGTGTATCGAAACCCGGTTTCTAGCGTTGTAAATCCGCAGACATACCGCTGTGCCAATGTGGGGCTTAGGGGAGAGTAAAAAGGATTTAATACCATTATAGAAGGGAAATCAGTGACATAGCGACAAACAAAACCAGGTGATTTTTACAGTTCTTGATAACATAATTAAAAATACTCTCTATTTTATAACGTCGCTTTAATAAAAGCTCGATCAAGAAAAAATCTCAAGATCTTACTCAAAGATACCAACTATCCAGAAAGACAAGATGTTTATACAAAACACTTAGTGTACAGAGATGTACTTCGTTTATAGCCATTCCGCGTTTTTACACTTCTTTACTTTAAATCTAAATACAACAACTCTATATTCTACTTAGTAGGTTTTGTTTCATTTATGCCCATCTACATAATACAATAACAGCATCATTTAAAGGATTTATCTGTTTAGAAGTCATAACCTTCTCATAGTATTCCACTTACTCTAATAATACTCCATATATGAAAAAATAAAAATATATTTGGGCGCTGACTTATGCAAATGTCGAGGATTCAATCTCGTGTATATCTTTTTAATTTTTTTTTCATAAACAATGTTTCAGTAGTCAAATAAATTAATTACATTGTTTGTTTAGAGCAAAGTCATATTGAGCTATCTGATGTGTCCAGAACTGGGAATATAATCCGAATTTTAGCGTTGTAAATCTGTAAACTTACCGCTGTCCTACCAGGGGACTTTTAGTACATACATCATATGCAAAACGCGAGTTTATACCCTAGTGGTTAATAATCAAACTCGTGCTGTTTTAATAAATGTTTCATGTGGTTATGGAAACACTGGCTCAAAATGTGGACAAGTGTGGCATATGTTAGTTACTTTTGAAAGATTCACACAAATGCTTTTTTGAGCCTAAAATATAGATTCTTATTTTATTCGCGCGAAATATTAGATCATACCCTACCCTATTTTGCAAGAAGAATATTCTAATGACGACATATTGGTTCGTGTGCTATTTTCAAGATTAAATCTTATGTCTGTTGAAGTGATAACGTTAAAGTTTTTATGGCTGATACCATATGATATTAGTTGATTTACACAAATACAATAAAATCCTTAGGTATTGCAGCTTGATAACAAGCCCAATATGCACTTGGCCCGACCCCGTATTGGAGAAGAAAAATTGACTATAATTCCAAATTTACTACGTGTATCTATACGAAATGTGGAAAGCTTTTAGTAAAATGTGCAAGTTTGTTGAACACAAAAAATCATATGAGTTATGTATGTGACTTGGCAACGTCAGTCTGACTCAGACTCTGACAAGTCGGAGTGCAAGGGGATATTCATGTAAAGAATAAATATACTTTTGTCCATCGTGTAGTTTGCGTATTGTGTTTACATAACCTTTGAACTACATACCATAGTTTTTCAGTATTCCTATATACTGTATTCGGTATTTAGTCTCCTCTTTAGCGAACTGTTGCTAAATGAATAGTTGATAACTCTGACATCAAATGCATATCATCATATTGAATGGCACTCTGTAAAATATCGTGGCTTTCACAAATGGACCCCTACCCATGCGCATGGAGTTAAATGAAATTATTTAGATTTTGCCTTAATTAACTCCATATGTTAAAAGACTGTCTTCGTGCTCTACAGAATAATTGGTCGAGACAGGAAGCATAAGTCGTAGGCCAAGAGCACATTTAAACTTCGTGTAATCTGTAAAAAATACACTTGACAACAAAAAGACTTATTCATTTTTAATTCTTCCTTTGCCTTACAACAAAGCTTTACTTGATAATAAACAAAACTTACACACGCGTATACATCACATGCAAAGATAAATAATGTCATTATCAATAGAATAAACATCTAACATCGAGAAAAGCGTGATGCCCTTAACAATATGGGCTGAGCACGAGATCACAAGCTTTTTTACAAGAATTGTTTCTGTTAAACTTGCTAAAAAAATAGCAAATACTCAAAAATACAATAGATTATTAATAAAACAGGCACAACACTGGAACGCAAGCTTCGCAAAATCTCTTTCTGTTAAGTTTATGTAACAACACTAAATAATGATGTTCTTAGCAATATAAATATAGCACAAGAACCTAATGTTGTTTACATAACCTTTGCTAATCCCATTAATAAGCAGCGACGAAAACTGCATGGCATTCTTAACAATATTAACACAACACAGAAGCTCAATATTGTATTAAAGATCTATTTCTCTTAAGCTCATTAATACGTAGAGTGATTAACAATACTGACACATTACGTTTTCAGGTTTGTTAATTTACAACAAATGATGAAAACACATACATCTTTAATAATGTGGACTTCGTACATATTTTCTTCATAAAAACCATTTCTGTTAGAATTAGGATATATCGTATGCTGCTTAGTTTATCCATTACTCACCATAATTTACGTTTATACATGACAAATAATTAAATAAAATTTTACACTAACATGTGTGAATAATATGAAGTAAAAGTTAACTGTTACAATACAGCCCTTATAAGTAAATATGAACACAAGTCAGAAGATCAAAAACGTAACCATAAAGTATCGGAATTCAATTAAAATGGCTAACTTAACATGTGTGTGTTTTTTGTTTTTTTTTGTTCTCTTTCCGTTCTTTTCTTTTGGAAAGATCAAGGAGTTTTCAATGAAGATTTAAATTCCTTATATATATATATATATATCAATGTTTTATTTAAACAAATAAGTACGTACAAGAAAGACCTAATTGGCGATATGTTATCAGTATTTAATTGACAGACATAATGACTTTTAAAAAATAATTTTCATTGTTAACTGACGCTCGTGAAGAAAACAAATCATTTACGAAATTCGATGGTATGGAAAACAATATTTTATATATATGTATATATACCACAAAACATGGAAGTGATGAATAAAATTAGACAAAATTATATATTATAATTACTTAAAATAAGTGAATAAAGACACACATACATAAAAACATATGTACCGGTTTCGTATCTCCAAAGGTAGTCTTCAGTTTCTAAAGTAAGACACTTAAAAATGAGAATATTTAACAGCGTGATTTTGACCTTAAAGATTTATATACGTTTCAAACTCCATGCGTGTAATATTTAATGTGTTTTTAAATTTGTTAAGAAAACAATATTCATATAAAAATCTCAAAAATAAATACCAGAACGGAAATATAAAAAAAAACATTTTAAAGTAAGGTATTTGGTTGCATGAACTTGAATTCAGCGGATTGACGTTTCACACATTAGTCACTGAAGGTATGTAAGGAAGGTACCAATTTAACCACAAGAAATTGTAACATAATAACACACTTAAGCTTAATCGAGCAGTTGAACTTCAAAATATATTTTAACTCATTTATTTTCTTGTTATTTTTATTTTTATGAATAATGTACAAATGAGTTGAGGTTGATGTTCTCGAAGTGTGTTGTTGAACTTGCAAAACGGGATTTATAGATGTTGGTGGTTTTTCTAGAGCGACCTCTGTACGTTCGTCGAAAACACAAACAAGCAAAAGAATTCTTAAATTCTTTGCGGAACTTCCCTGAAATAATAATTCATGCAATCAGTAAATGGTATTTATTTGAAAGATATGCAAATTTTATAAAAAAGAACCAGATGATTTTGATATGGACTTTACAGATTTTGGCAATATAAATAAAAAACAAAACAATTTTAAATGTCAACAGTGCAAAGAAAATAATTATTATATACAATACATTAATCAGTTTAAGAGGCTTAAGACATGTATTCCAAAAGTGATTTTATTTATCAAAACTAAATAATATTTGGTACTGTTTTGAAATTTAAAATCAATAATTATTGTTACATTCATCTTTAACTGTCTTAAAGATTTGAAGGAGACTTTCAAAGAGTGTAAATATTATTTTAACAAATGATATTTTTTGAATTGCAGGCGGCAAAAATGATTTAATACCTCTTGTGTCAAGTAGTCTCCACTATTCATTCAAATGTGTTACGTTTTCTTTGATAATTCTAGTAATGATTTCTTGGTTGCTACTAAAATATTACCTTGACAAACAAATGTTTCGATATTAAGAGAGCTTTGACAGATCACACTAATCTAGTCATGTAAATTTCCACTATGGATTCGATTCTTTATTAAGTGCTAATATGTACTGTTAAAAATAGGAACATATTATAAACCTACTGACTAGAATTAATCAAATTAAACCTGATATTTGCTTAAAAGGAAATGTTTCAATTGTGTACAACAGAATACTTATTACTTTATTACATGGATTAGTTTAGAAATAAAATATTTGAAATGTATATATATGCTTAAAGGCTGGGTTCCGTCTTTTTCCATGTGTTCAGCGATTATGTTAACTTAAGTATAATCAGTGCATGCAAGGCTAGTAAAAATTTCCAAACAAGCTTAACTAGTACCAGTAGTTAGTTTTCTTTCTTTCATTGATGTATAAGACTGCTGTAATTTAGGTGCATCTATTTCAAAATTATTTTGACAAGAGTTTTGAAACTAAGATGTATCTAGAAAAATGACGAATTAATCAAGTAGTAATTGAAATTGACATCGTATTTTCCACAGGAGTCTCAAACTGCTTCAAGACACACATCTTATATGCTAAATTTCATGGATTACGAAAACTAGTATATTACGAAATAAACCATAGTTGCTGGTATGTTTACTCATAAAAGCATTCTTATCTAATGATGACTTTCCTGATTTAGGAGTAAAGCATGAAGATAAAAAATACCACTCTTTCCTGAAGAAGAACACTTAGCCAAGCTCTTACCACTCATGAAATTGTAGACAATTGGGTTTGCAGCGCTGTTGGCATAGCATAACCAATGAGACAGAAGTGAAGCAACAGAAGTAGCATCTGACTGAGGAATTCCAACTGTGTATCTGCAGAAATTAAGCAACGATAATCGTCTTCAGAAACACTGTTCTTACAAAATAAAGAGTCGTAGCATACAGTAAACATAATAGTTGGCGTAAAACTCAGACATGTAATATTTACGATTAACAGTTTTGCTAATTAGACATGCATTCATATGCTAAGTATAGTATATGCACGTTTCATAGTAAATTAAAGTGCTAAAACCTTATGCACACGCCATTGCAAACCAAACTTTAAAGTACGTCATGAGTTTTTTAATATTTTAGTTTATCCATTGATTAACAGTTAACATTTAATGGTAAAAAAATTATATGTGAGTTATTTTCAAATATAACTCGAAACTATAAGCAGTGCTAAAACAATTTATTGTCCTGAATAAAAAAAAATATCGTATCTAATTTAATAACATTCAACATAAAGTGCAATTCAATAGTAAGGAGAAAGAAACAAGCGATTTTAGATGGATAAGCTATGGAAGGAATAGGAATATGACAACGTACATAAACGTATTACAAAGATGACGAATTACAACTTGCCTGTAATGCTATCGTTATCATTTGATTATAAAAATAAAACAGATTAATATCCTTTTGAGCCATTAAGTAAATAAATAAATATTTGATAGATTTTAGCCCCAAATATTAAAGGAAATATATCCACTAAATTATTTTATACTACATCAAATTCAGCTGATCGAATACATTACGTATATTCCCAGCATATAGATAGCAACAAGCTTGTCTAAATAAAAGAACATATGTGTTATGCTCTGGTGTCAGAAAGCATTTCGCACATGATGATCCAAAAGTTACTTTTCTCACACTTAAATATTTACTGTATGTATAACATTTGGTTTGCAGCGCCAAAACCCGTTGCATTTTTTATCAGTCTGTGTGTCATGTGCATGAACTATCCTTACCTGAGCGTGTTAATCAGATGAACAGGGAGGTAACACAAGCCAAATATTATAACTACAGAAATTAGCATTTTGGCAGCTTTACGTCTAGATTGTATCTGGCCTTCGCAATTAGGGTTAACCACGTCTGCTTCCGGCTCCCCTCTTCTTCCTGCTGACTTCAAGATCCCTAAAAGCAACAAGTTTGATTTCAAACCCATTCTTCAATATGTAAACGACAAATACAGTTAAATAAACTTAATACTTAAAAGCAAATATATATTCATAAATGCACATATATATAAAATAAATTAAATACAATTTTGATGATTAGATATGAAAGCAAATGTCTTCATTTATGTTATGTACTACAATAGCATGCGTTCCATCATTACATTAGGATAAAGATGCTACGATATATAAACTAAGATAGAACAATCATACTTGTAAGCTTTTGGAGTTGATCAAACCTATAAAACTTCGTTCAATATTGACTGTTAGCAACAGTGAATTGTCTTCTGAATAGAAACATATATCGATTACTAAGATTATTTAATTTTAAGAATTATAATATTAATTGACTAAAATGAGCATATATCGTTGAAAGAAACCGATCATTAATTTTTCTTATTTTGAGTTGCAAATATCTCATTTTACAAAGCAAATACACAACCTATAACAGAGATAACAAAGGTTCTTTAATCTGATTTACATGAAAACACACAATGTACAATAGAGAGACAATTAAAATATGTTAAATTTACTTGCATGGAAACAAAAAACGATGTACATCAAGGACAAGAAAATATTCGTTCAGTTACGTCTATGAGCGAAATAAACTTCGGTTGTAATTAACGACAATGGAACTCACTATGTTACACAGTCTAGTATTTTATTTATTTTGGAGACTCTCATAATTAGCTTATATTAACACACCTCTATACATGAAATTGGGAAGAGTTGAATGCAAGGCGATTTATGGTTTGAAATGTCAAAATATGTTTAAAATGTTAATTTTCCGTTAGTGTGGTGATAAGCAATAAAATATAATGATAATAAATGTCTCAGTATATTTTATGAACTGACGTGTAACAATATTTTCTAGGTGAGATGGAGAAAATTATTCAGAATGAATGAAGAATTTCTCAATGTGTTTTGAAAGTAATTCCTAGTATGTATATATCATCTCTCCTAATAGGTTGGTGAAAAGGCAATTTGTGGTAATGACTGAGGGATTCCTCAATGTGTTTTGTAGTTAATGTGCAGTGTGTGTGTATCATCCTATTTTCCAGTTAGTTGGTGAAGAGTATTTTTTTATGGCTGGGGAAGTTCTCAATGTGTTTTAAAGTTAATTCTCAGTGTACTGTATCAACTTTTCTCGTGAGTTGGTGATGAATAGCTAGCAGTGATTAATAAATATTTCAGTGTGATTTGCGATTCGCCTTTGTTGTGTGAACACATCCTTTCTTGTGAGTTGGTGAATAGTGGGTTGCCATGAAGAGTGAGTTTTTTACGGTGTTTTGTGGTCATTGTGAACTTACCTCTTCTAGCGTGATGATGAAGAGTTGTCTCTGATGAGCCTGGAATATCTCTGTTCCACAGTACTCTAGCGATCTGGCAGTATACGACAGACATTAAGATAAAAGGAAGAATATAGAGAGCAATAAAAATGTACATTTGGTAAATGCAGGTATATCGACCATCCCAGGTATAGCTGCAGTCTGTTAGGTAGTATGTCTCAACCTTGATGTTCGGATGCTTCTGGGTATCCAGAACAATAGCTTCTGGGAGAACCAGAAGAAACGAGATGGTCCAGATAAAGATTATAATAACCTTAGCGTTTGTAGTCGAGCTTTTGAATTGCAGAGGATAACAGATAGCGTACCAGCGGTCCACAGATATAAAAGTTAAGGTGAGAACAGAGACGGACACCGAGACACTCTGAAATAACAAGTTTCGACTGGATAAAAACATTTTTTATGAGACAATTTAAAGAATAAAGAATGTGGCTAAAATTTATCAAAAATCGTTAAGTATCTTTGTACGTGTTTCAAAGAAATCTTCAAGTCATTAGTTCTTATTTACGCGTGCAATGACTTTTGTCTTGTTATTGATCCAACTACTCACGCAAATTATTATATATAACATAACATTATTTAACCAATCACACAAATTATTATATACAATATAACATTATTTAACCAATCACACAAATTATTATATACAATATAGCATTATTAAACCAATAACAACACATCTAACAAGCTTTCGGGCCATTTTATGCACGCACACAGAATGGTGGCTCAACGAGAAGTGTAAAACACTTATTCTGAAATTCTGCACAAAGCACATATCTGGTCTGGCAAATGATGCAAATCAGAAAACTGCTATATATCCCGCTAAAACATTACTATATACGTTGCTAAATCATTATTTAGTATAGGTGCACGTGATATTATCTTTATTAACTTATTTTATTCAATAAATAATACAGGTGATACCTCAGACACACAGTTCAAACAAATATTTTCATCACGATATATTTTTAAATATCTCATTTTTAAATGAACCAGAACTATTTTTCATTAGCCATAGCGAGAAATAGCGTTCCGAAGTCTTATCTTTGAACCTATTTTACAAGTAAGAGGGTTGATTATTAGAAAAAAAGGTATTTGGAACCTGAAGTAATTTGCAAGTTAATTTCATTTACTTCTGTAAAACAATAATGAATGTATGAAGCAGTCGTATAGGCAAAATAAAAAGGGGAACGAAATAGGGGGATCTAGTGATGTCTTACTGTATGACAACTCAGAGTTCGTTATATTCACGTTTAAAGATGTCTAGCGTATGTCTATATAATGAAACCGTTACTCTTCAAACACATTTAATACTATAGCCTAGTACTGATACACACGCATACATTTTGATAAAAAAATGTTACAATACGATAAGAAATGGTTAATGCTTTCAGCTGTAAGTGTAAGTAAATAAATCAACCAAAATATTTTACACAAACTACGTCTTCCGGTGGGTCTACGGACTTATAACGTTAAAATTCAGGGATCAAATCCCTACGGTGGGCGCAGCGGATAGCTCAATGTAACTTTGCACTAAAAAAACAACAACAAACAAATACATAATCTACAGTACGAAGAGTTTATTGGACACTCTGGTGCCTCGACGTTAAGTCTGAAGGTTTTTCATGCTGAAAATCGGGTTTCGATATAAGCGGTGGACAGAATTTAGATAGTCAATTGTATAGCTTTCCATTTAACAATAAACTAATTAAGTTTTATCGCTGAAATTACTTCTGACATACGACATTATGTGCAAACTTGCGTTTATACTTATTAAAATACAGGAGTTTAATAATAGGCTTGATACATACCAATAAAAATATTAAATGATCTTAGAGTAAAATAATTATTCATTCGTAATATTGAAGAAACATTTTTTTTCATTTTATTACTTTCTAAAAAGTAACAAAGCAAGTCTTACCATTTTACTGTAAGTTATCGTGCCATATGCAAAACGATCTCATATATTTTCATGAATTTATAGCAAGGCCCGTATGGCCAGGTGGTTAGGGAGCTCGACTCGCAATCTGCGGGTTCGAATCCCCATTCCACCAAACATGCTCGCCATTTCAGCCGTGGGGGCGTTATAATGTGACGGTCAATCTCATTATTCGTTGGTAAAAGAATAGCCCAAGAGCTGCCTTCCCTCTAGTCTTACACTGCTAAATTAGGGACGGCTAGCGCAGATAGCCCTCGTGTAGCTTTGCGCGAAATTCAAAACAAACAAACAAACAATTTATAGCAGCAGTTATTCCTCTTTACGGCAATATCATTAACAACGAAATCATCTAAATTATTATATAAAGCAGCATTTTTGATTATAGATTTTAGTTTCTGTTGTATTGATTTATATATTAAGCATATCTACAGTTAATGTATTATACAGGACTGCTTTAATTAAGTTACACTTTCTATTTAAATTATTTGCAAGTTATTTTTTATCAGAATTTATCAATAATGCAATATAGGCTATTGTTTTTTGCTTTGTTTTTTAAAAGTTTATTTTAATGGTGAATCCTAGTTTCTAGCTCATTTCTTCCTGCTAATAAGAACATCATATAATATTATATTCAGTGTACTTGAAGCATTATTCTAAAATCTTCTACTTTTAAATACGAATACATGTAATTTCAAGTAAGTGTAAGGAAATCTATTTAATGCAATTCCAAGTCACTAGTGACTCATGTGCATAACCATGCCGATCGCTCGAGATTCTGTTATGTTCTATATTATCACGAACGAATCGATAAGCGCTTAACAAGTAAATTTAAGTATTATTGCCTCGATTATTAAAAACCTGACAATTTTGATATTTTCTGTAAAAATTAAAAAAAAAAGAAAAAGACAGTGCTTAGCATAAGAAACTAAGGGTTGATTTCTCAATGTTTCATGGTTACAACCGGAGCATAAACCCTGTTTTATCGGAGACATTAAACGTACATTATCGTTTATTCGTTGTTTTTGTTGTTGGGTTTGCTAATCAATAAGCTCAGCACACACACACACACAAAATTGATAAGCCTCAGAAAAATTCGTGATTTTTGAAATAATTGAAACAACAAATGAACTTAAATTAACATAAATCATCAGTTCTTTGAAAGTTTGTATATAGAAAGATTTAGCGAATAATACACACAATTATGCTCTAGGAGGAAGGATAACATTTCACATCATTTTAAACATTAAACACATAAGTAGCCCTTTTATCAGCTAATTTTAACATAAAATAGTTTAAACTAAATTAACTTTACTCCAAAATATATCATGTTCATATGCACACTCAACAAATTTGCTATAGCAGTGGATCTTATTCCCTAATCAAATAATCCAAATACAGTTTAAGAAACTTCCTTCTGACACACTGTTTACTTTAACTGTAATCTAGTTTAATCAGACTTTCAATTAACAATACATGAATTTATTTGAAAATAGCCTACTGCCTAATGTACCATAAGCTGACTTTAAAGTGATATTTAGATTGAACTGAGAAACGTTGTGACACTAAGGATTCCCCTCATTATGTGCTCAAGATAAATGCTGACATTAACTATAGAGGTGAAGCATCTAGTGTTATAAAGTACTGAATCTTATACTGTAATACATGATATTGTCAACAGTGCATCATCATGCCTGAATGCTGTCTTGTTGATCAACAACTGATGTAAGTACACATTGTTATGTTGTACGTGTGTTAGCCAATGCTTTATTTGAATTGAACTGACATATACAGATTCGTTTCATCAGGTTTATTATGTCAAAGTTGTTATAGACTTTGTGTAGCAAATATACATGAATTAATGTACTTAGGGACTGGGTGCATTCGTACTTTTGATTATGGAAAATAAAGTACAATAATTCCTAAGTATTTCATTAATGAATTAAGATAATACCTTATGTTAGTATCTACACACAATTTTTAACATTTCTAAGCAGAACGATTTTGTTCCAATTTACATGTTTGTTTACTTGTTTCATGTTTGCAATTGTTAATTGGCAGTCCACTTCTCATATATATATTTAGATATAACTATACAAGTACATACAAGGTCAATAGAAGTTACGTAATTTCAAAACATTGTGGGTTTTGTGTATGCTAAAACATATATTTACGTAATTCACAGCTTCTGATTGGATAATACTGAACAAATCTACTCTTGCATGATATAATGAAAATTATTGTGATTTTTGGCTATTCTGGGAATTGTATGACTCAAAGGTGCAAATATAAAAACTGCTACTAGATTTTATATTTATAACACACATCTTGAAAACTTAAAGGACTACCTTTTCTAGAAAATAAGAGCAGACCTTTTCCTTAAAGAGTGTTGAGCAAAGTCTGAGGACCTAGTTCACTCTTCTTAGACTATTGGACTATATTAGACATTTTGGAGTTAGAGTCAAGCCAATAAACGTGGTCGAGATATAGTGAAAACTTTCGTTATTAAAGTTAAACCAATTATATCCTCTGTTGCCTGGTTTGGTATATAGTTCATAGCTGTTTGTCATTTAGTATTTGTTTACTATCTCAAAATGTTATCTAGCCTATAAACCTCTAATTAATGGAATATCTCCACAAAGAGGAGTAACATTTGACATGTTTAATTCCGAGCATTTATCGTACTTTATAAGAACAATTTACATGTATCAATGCAATGACGTTTACCACATGTTTAGAACATCAAGATTATTTTTCGATCATTCCACAGTTCCATTACACTATGATTAGACTTATGACGAGAGAATACATACCACAGTCCTTTCTGGTGAAGGACAATCGTATAGTGAAACAACAAAGGTGTGCTAAGTGCACACCAAATCCAAAGATAACTCTATAATATAGTGAATAGTGTTGGAAATGGAATATCAGCATTCTCAATGAGAATTTGTAACAATTTAAACACCATTATTCTTTATTCAGGACCAGTAACGTACAGAGGACATTAAAAGGGCAAGGACTCATTGACAATAAAAAGGAGATAAAAAACAACCTCAGTTCTCTATGAGGCGAAATTCTCAATCGCAGGTACGGGCACGCTCACTGCGTCACTCTCCCTCACTCGATTTTCGTTTCGTTGGGTCCGACAAAAACTTCAGAAACAGCCTAGAAAAACATTTACGTCACTCACGATACTTCTCCACAAATTCCCCTCTGCTTTTCTTGTCTCCCTCTCAACACCAGCCAGCCAAAACAAGTTGACCAAAACATCTCAACCAAGAGCGGGATGAAGAGGAATACCTGAATTCCTGAACGCCCCTGTTTCAATGCCTAAATCATTGCCAGGTCTGTTGTTGACAAAAAAGGGCACCTTTCAAGGATCGCAAGGCAAGATATTTTTAGGAGAGTGAAAGTGTTTAGGGGAGACT